CACAATTGTTAAATAAATAATTAAATTAAAAAGAAAAGAAAAAAACAAAGATATTGTCCCCTTTAATAAACGAAAGACCGGCGATTTAATCCAATTATAAGAATAGAATTTATTATGATTTTCTTTTTTTAAGCTACTTGAATATAATTAGCAGGTACATAACCACGTTGTCTTGTATCATTAATTTTTTCAACATACCACCAATCATCATTTCCACTATCATCAAGACGACGTAAAATTTTTAATCGTTCACCAGCATGTAAAGAAAGAACACCATCACTTGTACATTCAAAATCATACATTGCTATATAAATCTAAATAATAAATCAAAAAAAAAAAAAAAAAACTTTTTCTTTCTTCTAATTTAGATTTATACTTGTTCTTGTTCAGTTGATTCAGAAATAATTGAATCATCAAGATCTATTGAAGCATATTGATGACATTCATTCATTTGATTTAAATAAATTCGTTCATTTTCAAAATTATCTGATGAATTTATTAAATTAGGTTGTGGTTCTGTATGAGCTCGTTTTAATAGATGTTTTCCATTTCCATGATGAGATTGATCATAATTAAATGCTGGATTAGCATGAGCTGATGAAAGAGATATTCGTGTTGGCATTCCTATGTCATGACGAAGTGGAGTTGGTGGTGTATGAGATACAAGACCGGATCGATCGTCAGATGATAGAGGAATAAGAATTGAACGAGGTAATAAACCTCGAGTAACTATAAAAAAAAAATCAACATATTTTAAAAGAAAAAAAAATAATAAACCTATACATACTTCCATTATCGACAAACCAATTTGCAATATTTGAATTTTTTGTATTTATATCATTATGATTAACAACAGCAACAAGATCACCCTATTTAAATAAACAAGATTCTATCAAAAATATGTTTCGAAAACAAAAAAGAGATAATCATTTGTAATATTCACATACTATTTATAGTTAAATGCATTCACTGATGCTTGTCTATCAGGTCTCGAAACAAGTCGTCCGACCTGGCCCAACGATTTTATCCTTTTTTGACATAACTTTTTCTGAGATTTGACTCACCCGTAGAAGGAATAGGGAGAAGTTTCTTCATGTTACCTTCTCTTGGTTACCATTTTTTATAAAAACCAAAAACTATGAAATAGCTGTCTATTGAGAAAAAAAAAATCTTTGCAAACGAAGTTTCTTTCGGACACGAACCATAAAAAAGTGGCTCGATTTTGAGGCGCGTTGTCTGTTATCGGAAGTTAGAAAGAAAAAATTTTTTGAAAACCTATTTTTTAACATTAACTAAAAAACGATTTTTATATAGGTAAATAATTTATCTTCTTCGCTTTCTATATGGTTCTTCTATAAATCATATTTGCTGTACTTTTTTCCTCTGCTATTATAAATCTATTCAAAGTCTTACTCTTATTTTTAATTATGTAATTAGAGTTAAATATCGAATATAAAGCAGAGCTTCCAATAGGCTAGACCATCGACCAAAATGTCTTGAAAAGAAATATTATGAATTGGGCTAATGCAAGTTTCCGATATGCAAGATAGTCTATAGATCGAACGATGAATTTTCGTAGAGTTATCGAGTATAATCATTATAAAAATTTAAAATTTTCATTGATTTAAACTTTCTGCATTGAACATCGAATAAGTTATACAAAACAGAACAAAGAATAATGACATGAAATTGGATTAATAATAATTTATCCGAAAAAAAAAACTGTCGATACAAGACTAACTAATTTAATTAGCTTAAGCAACAAAATGAAAGAAAGGTTAATGTTGATCAGCATAACAAGCTGGGTGTAGATGTGGATTTCGGTTTTCTTTACTCTCACAGCCGCATCCATATTTGAAGATCTACATGGATAAGCAAAGCGTAATGATGTCAATTTCGTTTTGAACCGTTAGAATTGATCTATTATCTAAATTTCAACAAATTCTTGAGTTCTTATGGTTGCTGGAGTTCCATGAGTTCAGAATCATATACTCTAGCTGTCACAAAGATCTGTTCTATTTCATAAGCAACAGCACATCGACTTATGACTGAATACTTTTTATTGAAATCGTACCAGATGTAATTTTAGGGCATCTTGTAAATTATGAATACTATACTTACACTTCGAACAACAATATCCATTGATCGATTATTTGTTTCATTTCCATAATTTCGAATAACTGTATATAAATCTTTTTCAGCATAACGAGTTCTTAATAAACGTCTAATATCATCTGTTTGTATGGATATATCCTATTCATTAAATAAATTATTTATAATTATTAATAAAAACAAAAATTCTAACAAACCTTATTACTATTATAAACATTATTTATTGTTGATAAATTTTTTAATTTATCCGAAAAATTTTTTGCTGTTATTGTTAATTGAAATAATTGTTCAGCAAC